CAGTGTGGAACTTTTCTGGAGGAGGGTAAAATCTCTCACTGTTTTTAAATTTTAAGGTCATTTAGTCTGTTTTAGATTCTGTCCCACAAATATCACCGTTTTGTTTTGCAAAAGTTAAACGTAAGTTTTTGTTTTTAGCCATAAGATTTAGATGAGAATTATTAGAATAACTTGGTCTCAAAATTCGACAGTTTAATGACCCGTGTGTCTTTGTTATTGATCCGTGTGTGTGTCTGTGGTGTGTGTTGTTAGCATTAGCGTTAGCAGAGTGTCTCGGTTGCTGGGCGACAGGAGCGGCTCCTGCACCTGTCACATTTGGTCTTGAGGTGCGCAGAGGTCAGTTCGAGGGCTGCAGACTTCACTGTATTGTTGGACGCTGGTGAGGAAGAGTTCGAGACGTCATCGTTTTCCAAAAGCTGCGGTTTGTTTGTTCACACGTCAACACAACGCCGACGTGCTCAGGTTTCTCCACTCTGGAACTGTTCTCAAAAAAACACTGTTTTCACCCGAAATGCCGACTGTGTGGACGACACTGTTGGGCAAGTGACTTTAAAACTATAATGTGTTATTTATGACTTATTACTGTCATTTCAAAGTCATTCGTTACATGACAATATTACTGTGTTTATAATGTAAAACATTACGTGACTATTGCATTACTTTAAGTTACTCTCACCAAAATAACTGCGAAGATGCTGAACTTTTGCGCCGTATATGGACTGAAATAGGACTAAACCAGAACTAAACCAGAACTGAACCAGAACTGTACCAGGACTAAACCAGATCTAAACCAGAAAATTTGGCAGCTGAACACATTCTGTACTGTACAGGAGACAGGAGTCCCTCAGCCAATCAGGACGTAGCAGGAGGAACACAATACATGTTCATACACTGTAAAAACAAAAAACATGAAAAATTGCACTAAAAAAAATCCGTGAGACCGCAAAAGGTGAAAGCACGATAGAGTGAGGGACGACTGTAAACCAGGTCTAAACCAGAACTGACCCAGGTCTAAACCAGGTCTAAACCAGGTCTAAACAGCGTAGAGTTCTGTGTCGGTCCTTTCGCTCGTGGTCACCTGACGTCTACACGGCCGGGTCTCCAGCGTTTCATCGCTGCTGATATCGCGGTGTTTTTAGTGAATTTCTATGAAGAAAGACCCACCACCTAAATCCAGGTTAAAAAAGCTTTGTAACGCACGATACTCACATTTGTACACAGTAAAATATTTAAAAAAAATTTCCCTGTAATGCTGTAACATTACTGTAATTCATTACTTTTATAACGCGTCACTCCCAACACTGGTGGACGCCGTCCTCCGCTGGACAAACAGAAACGTCCTGAAAGGGATCGAGAGGATTATTTAGAGTCATTTACAGGTTGATTTGTGTAAAAACAACTTTTAATGATTGACCAGAGATTTGATTTTGGTTTATAATAACAGATTTTATTTAATTACATTAATCAGATACACAGACACTTTAAAAGCTTTTCAAAGTCAATACCTCTCCTTTAATGTAAGTGTTTTGTTGTTAGTGTTGTGCACTGCTCCTTTCTGCATCTAATTTATCTTTTGAAAAAAAAATAATATTGGAAAAAATGTTGACTGAAAATCTTTGGCTTGAGTTTCCTGTAAGTCAGTGCAGAAGGTCGACAGGTTTGTGTTTCCCATGCACCAGAAGAACTGGTCCACTGGATTGGCAGAGGTCTGGTTTGGGGCGAACACTGCAGAGTTGTTGAATTTGAAGTGGACTGGCAGACCCTGCTCTGTTTTAGGACATGGGACTCCAGCAGCTGTGAGGACCTCAAGAACTGGAGGCATCTGAGCATCTGCGAACGTCACCAGAATCTTGATGTTCTTGACACATCTTTGTCCCAAACCTGAGGTGGAAGAGAGAGTGTAAAAGCTTCCAGCTGGTGTGGAGGGAGCTGAGCCGACGACTGGACCACTACACAGACTGTCATGAATTTGTCTCTGTTCAAATTATTGAAGGTGGTCAAAGATCTGCCACATGAGTTCTCTAATGATCTTCCAACACTGCCCCTAAACTCTGGAGTGTCGATGATGGTGAGTGAGAAGTCGACCTGGAATCCCTCCTGGTGGTTTATTTGATACACCACTGTCTCAGAAGTCTCATCCTCGTTTATTTTAAACCGAAACGGGTCGGTCCATCTGACTCCCAGGATGTAGTTGATCATGGCATTGATGAGACTGATCTTCCCAGATCCCACAGGTCCAAGAAGGATCATGATACGATTTTCTTTATGACTTTCTTTTCCAAACACATATTTTCTGACATTTGGTGCAGTACTCTTCAGCCTCCTCTGCTTTAGACCAGGGAGTTTGTAGATTTCTGGTGTTCCAGAATGATCTTGATGCTTTCCTCAAAAAGCGTTCTTTCGACTAAATGTGGCAGTGGTGAGTTCTGCTGCAGTGAATGTTTTGGTGGTGATGGTCACAGTGGAGCTTTCTGAGCTGGTTCCGTCCTCTCCACAGTCACAGAAGATCCTGAGGATGTACTCTGTCTGAGGCTTAAGTCCAGAGATCACCTTCTCCTCAGAATGGGACTCTTCTCTCCTCCACTGGAGTGTGTCTCCGGTCTCAGCGTACTCCACGATGTATCTGAGGATCTGGGCGCCTGGTCCCACCTGTGCAGGTCTCCTCCAGCGGGCGTAGATCTTTGAGGAGGTGGACATGGCGCTGGGGTCTTCTGGAGGGCCGCAGGGTAAGGTTTTCATGGAGGTGTGAGGAGCAGCTGGACCTACTCCCGCCTCAGTGACGGCTCTCACTGTGAAGCTGTACTCTCTGTGTTTGGGATCAGGCCTGTCACTGTGACCTCTCCAGCTTCAGCCTGGAGCTGCTGCTTCCACTGCTCCTGTCCTTTCTCACAGAACTCCACTCTGTATCCACAGACGTTCTCCGCTCCCACTGAGAGAGCTCTGACCTGCAGACTCACGCTGTGCGCTGTGGCTCTGCTCACAGTCACTGAGTCTGGTTTAGAAGGGAGCTCAAAGCTCTCACTGCTGAGGAACCCGTCTTCATAAAGATAGATGGTTGCTTCTTTGTGGTTTTCATCAGTCAAACCCACTGCCAGGAACCGAAGAGCCTTTGTGTCCTGGTCTTTGTTGGCGTCTGCAAAGTCACTAAACACCTTTGCTTTGAGTCTCATTCGGTGGATCACGTCTTTAGTCTTGTACCAGGGTGTGGGCTCTGCTCCAGACTCGTGGGTTTGAATCCCCTTTAGGTGGTTCTTCAGTTCTTCGAGGTACGGCTCTGCCCTCTCCAGAGACGTGAACACAAACACCAGGACTTTCTCTGAGTCACTCACCTTCTCTCATGAGGTCATTTTTCAGAAGAGACGACTTCTGTGTTTCTCATCAGTTTTGTGAGGGCTTTTATGGTGTAGGCCTCCTCAGTGACCTCGTTCATCCACTGGTTCAAACGGTGAGAGCTGAATGGACTCTCTGCTGCCCTCTTCAGGACTTCTGCCAGAGCAGCCTCCTCCTCTCCTCCTCCTCTGATCGATGGAAGCTTCGTGGCCAGAGTTCCCTGGAGTCCCAGGAGGAACTCGGAGCACAAAGAGTTAAAGGTTTTGACTTTTTCAAAAAGGTGTGAGAAGTTCTGCCCTGCAGGACTCTTCAGGACATCATTACAGATCATGTCCAGCTCCCTGAAGTTCTCCAGGACGTTCTCTGTCTCACAGACTAACCTCAGACTGATGTGACGCACCAGTTTAGACGCTGCAGAGTCTAAGGCGCTGAGGGGCAGCAGGTGCACCGTCACAGGGACTGCGTTCTCACCTTTGGGGCCCAGACGTTTGGGCAGGTCTTGATAAACTTTTACTGCTTCTTCAAATGTCGTTGGACTTTTGTCTAAACAGAAATCTCCATGAAAAGTGCAGGAGAACTTGTTCACCTTTTCTCTGTCTCTGTCCTCCATTTTCAGATTCCCTTCTCCATCAATGGAGACCTTTGGGATTTTTTCAATCATCAGCTTCAGGTTTCCCTGAATGTCTCGGACTTTTTCATCTTCAGATGTTTCCTGGTCGAACACAAAGAAGGCCTGGGCTCCGTAGAGGATGGCTGTTACTACATGTGTGGCTAGACCTTTGTCAATGACCTCGTGGTGCTTTAAGTTGTCTTTGCTGAGCTGGTTCATGGTCAGTGTTTTAAACTCTGTCGTAGTTTTGTACTGCAGAGTGACTCGGGCCTGTCTTCTGGAACTTTTCTGATCGTTCAGATATTTTGCTGACCCTTGAACCTTCACAAGTCCACTCAGAAAACTGGCTTTGAGTCCAGCCGTCCACTCCGAGTGAAGAGGCCTTCTCAGAGAGGTGATCAGACGCCACGATCTTGACACTGAGTGCTGGGTTTAGGAGTCACTCTCATGTCTTTGTCCAGCTTCTCCTGGTCCCAGAAAGTCAGGCCTGAAAAACAAGAGGTTTATTTGGATGAATAAATATAAAGTGATTCTAATAAAGACGAGATACACGTGTGACCTCTGTCTGTAGTGTTCGTAAGTGTGCACATTGTAAGCGAAATTAGGAAATGTGATGGAGCAGCAGAGCTCTGAGTCTGAGCTCAGGGAGCAGGCTCTGCCCAGGATGTGGTCGTCCAGTAGACGGACTCTCACTGATGGAGCAGGGACCCAAAGCACAGGCTGCCAATGTTGCTCTAAAGCTGAGAAATCTGAGATGGAGAGTCACATCTGCAGCATTCTGCCAAAGGAGGCCGTTCAATGAGCCTCACCGCTGTTTGGAAAGTTCCTGGAATGTTGCTTTGACTTTTATTATTCTTGTTTGTTACATTTCCTTCCCTCTGCTGACATCCTTCAAGATTCAAACCCGATACAGACTTTGCCCCTGATCCTTCTTCTTACTGTAGCCCTAATATGTGCTGCTCTTGAGGCTGTGGCGGGTCACAGTTGGACTTTGTACGATGTATTTTCTGCTGTTTTCTTTGCTAAAATAAACCAACAGCAGGACAATGTACAGCTTGTC